GAAAGAAAAAGAGAAGAAGATAGCAAGAAAGGAAAGCCCAAGTGGCATTAATATACTGCATATTTATTTACAAAATTTAGCACTGTAGGAATGGCTGTTATTTAAAAGGTAAAAAAAAAAATAATAAATAAATAACAGATGCTGATAAGGTTGCAGAGAAAGGGGAACACTCACACATCGCCGGTGAGGGTTCGGCCATTGTGCAAAGTCATGTGGTGATTTCTCAAAGGGCTAAAAACGGAATGACCATTCGACCCAGCAATCCCATTACTGAGTATGTATCCAAAGGAATATACATCGTTCTACCGTAAAGATACATACACGTGTCTGTTCGTCACAGCACTCTTCGCAGTAGCAGAGACATAGAATCTACGTAAATGCCCATCACTGATAGGCTGGATAAAGAAAAGCACACATGTGACTGTGGAATACTATGCAGCCATAAAAAAATGAGATCGTGTCCTTTGCAGAAACATGGATGGGGTTGGAAGCCATTATCCTTAGCAAACTGACACAGGAACGAAAAACCAGCTACTGCATGTTCTCACTCCTAAGTGGGAGCTAAATGATGAGAACACCTGGACACACAGGGGAGCAGCACACTGGGGGTCCACTGGAGGCTGGAGAGTGGGAGGAGGAAGAGGAGCAGGAAAAATAACTATTGGGTACTAGGCTTAGTACCTGACTGATGAAATAATCTGTACAACAAGCCCCGTGACACAAGTTTACCTGTGTAACACACCTGCACGTGTACCCTTGAACCTAAAATAAAAGTTAAAACAAAAACAGTAACAAACTGCAGCATCGCTTTCCTACAACAAAATCTGCTAGGCCAGGCTCGGGCGGCGGCTCACGCCTGTAATCCAGGCAATTTGGGAAGCCAACACAGGCAGCTGTCTTGAGGTCAGGAGTTCGAGACCAGCCTGGCCCACACGGTGAAACCCTATCTCTACTAAAAATATACCAATTAGTTGGGCATAGTGGTAGGTGTCTGCAATCCCAGCTACTCAAAAGTCTGAGGAAATGAGGGCTAAGGGAGGCAGGGTGTCTTTTCTGGGGGATGAAAATGTCCTAAAATTGATTGTGTGGAGGTGGTCTAATGCTATGAATATTTTAAAAATCTTTAAACTGCATGCTTTAAACAGGTGAAGTGGGCAGTACATGAATCATGTCTAAATAAAGCTGTTCTCAGCTGGGTGCAGTGACTCACACCTGTAATCTTTGGAGGCAGAGGATCACTTGAGGTCAGGAGTTCGGGACCAGCCTAAAAATACAAAAATTAGCCAGGCATACTGGCAGACACCTGTAATCCCAGCTACTCAGAGGGCTGAGGTGCAAGGATCCCTTGAGCTCAGGGGGTGGAGGTTGCAGTGAGCCAAGATCCAGCCACTCCAGCCTGGGCAACAGGGCAAGATCCTGTCTCAAAATTAAAAAAAAGAAAGAAAGAAAGACAAGAAAACAAAAGGAAACGTCTTCCTCTCGTCACCCTGGAATGGCCTGTCCTGGTGCTGGTGGTGGGAGACACCCCTGCAGGGGACAAGCGTGGCTGCCCTGCGGCCACCCAGGGGGCTCTCTCCCGCGCCCCCACCCAGCGTGCTGCCCGCACTGTGCCCCACTGGACCTCCCTTCCCCAAGTGGTGACAACCTGATCCCAGCAGCACGGACAGCAGTGACACCCACAGGGTGCTCGCTGGACCCACAGCACCTACTGGTCATTGGGCGTCCCAGGGCCAGGGCGTGGTGGGAGCCAGGGACCGCCGCAGGGGCGGGGGAGCCACCGGTTCAGAACAGCCAGGGACAAGTGAGTCCGCAGCGACAGGCCCACTCCACCGGCTGTCACTAGACCACGTGGGTTATGGAGACAGACCCGCTTTACAGACGTGGAAACCGAAGCCAGAAAGGTCGGGCGGCTGGCCTGGCAAAGGCCTCTGCCCACAGGAGGTTCGCGAAGCTGGCCAAGGTGCGCGGCCCGCCTCATCCGCCGGGACCCCACCCGGCACCCAGCCTTCAACGCCCCAGGCTCACCCGCTCCTGTGCACACGGGCGGCACCCGGCCCCAGCTCGGAGGGGCACTCGACGGCGGAGATGGCAGGTTCCTCCAGCTCCCCCACCATGTGGGCGCCTGTGAACCGGCCCCCGGCGTCCACCGGAGCAGAAGCCCCGAGGGCCTGGGAACGCGCATTTTCGCCCCTCTGAGCAACACGGGCTCTGGGCGCAGTCTCCCAGACGGCCAGCAGGTGGCAGCGTCGGACCGAAAACGCAGCGGCCGGACTGGAGCCGGGAACCCGCGGCTGGTCCTGCAGGGGCCAACCAGGGGTGTCCCTTGGCTGCCGTTTCCTGCGCCCCTCCCTGCCCCGGCCCCCGCCCCCTGCCCCCGCCCCTGCCCCGGGACCCCTGCCCCCGGCCCCTGCCCCCTGCCCCCAGTCCCCCGGCCCCCGGCCCCTGCCCCCTGCCCCCGGCCCCTGCCGCCTGCTCCCCGCCCCCCGCTCCCCGCCCCCGGCCCCTGCCCCCTGCCCCCTGCCACCGCCCCCTGCTCCCTGCCCCTGCCCCCTGCCCCCGCCCCCTGCTCCCTGCCCCCTGCTCCGCCCCCGCCCCCTGCCCCCTGCTCCCTGCCCCTGCCCCCTGCCACCGCCCCCTGCCGCCGTCCCCGCCCCCTGCCGCCGCCCCCTGCCCTCTGCTCTCTGCCCCCTGTCCCCTGCCCCCGCCCCCGCCCCCCCTGCTCCCGCCCCCTGCTCCCTGCCCCCGCGCACTGCCCCTCGCCCCTGCCCCTGCCCCCTCGCCCCTGCCCCTGCCCCCTCGCCCCTGCCCCTGCCCCCTCGCCCCTGCCCATCCCTGCCTCCAGCCATCCGAGCCAAGGTCCATCCTATTGGAGGTTCCTGATTAACCGGCCCTGGGAACCGGCCCCGGCCCCACGGCGTCCGCGTCTCTGGCGTGACCGAGGACCCTGCTCCAGCCGAGGCTTTGAAAGCCACTGTCGCCCACACTGCGGTGTCAGTGACCGCGCGTCCCTCAGAGGCCTCTCCCCAGCACTGGGGCACCTCCCCTGGGGGCCCAACAACTCCATGTCCACAGCTGACCCTCCCGCTCCCCCAGTTTGGAGTCCGGGAGCTCCGGGGAGCTGAGGAGCCGCCTCCCCCAGGCCCCCACCGGCCTGCAGTTCAGGCCCAGCCGCTGTGCCAGGGCCGAGAGGCCCGGAGGAGGCCCCAGCCCCAGACCGAACGGCCGCAGCGCAGAGTGGCTCTCCGAGTGCCCACGGCGCCTGCCTCCCAAGAACACCCAAACTCCCCGCGTGGCTAAACGGCCCCACAGGGCTGGTCCCCTCCATCTCGCGGCCCCACCCACCCTCACTGCCCTCCCCTGTGCCAGGCCCCTCCGGCCACCTGAATTTTCCCCGCGGGGCCGCGGCCAGACTCACACCCGCTCACCCTTCAGACCAGGCGCAAACACAGCGGCCTCCCCGACACCAGGTCTCCCCAGGTCCCGAATGCAGTGGGGGGCCCCAGGACAGGGCCTGAGACAGACGCTTCCGTCCAGGGCCGCTGCGCTCCTGCGGCATGTGCTGGGGGTGAGGCGGCTGCTCAGGACGTGCAGCCAGACCGGCCGCAGCAGGCAGAGGCTGCCTCAGGCCCGCCCCGCTCCGCGCCGGGACGCGGCCCGCGTTTCCAGGCGCCTTATCCTTGATCTCTCTCTCCACCCGGCACCCGGCACTCGGCACCCGGCAGGGAATCACGGGACAGGCCGGTCGCTGCTGTGTGCCCAGAACCTTCCAGGCAACACATCCGCCTCCCACGCGTGCAGCGCCCACTCCCCTCCCTGGGCCCCGCACTCACAGGGCCGTCTCTGAGGCTCCTCCTGGGGCGGAGCCTGCGGAACCGAGAGGGTATGCGGCCCTGCCCAGGTCACACAGCACGACCCGACGGGGCCGCTCCACCCCGTGCGGGAGGCCACCGTAGCCCAGTCTCCCACCAAGCGAGGAGCGGAGAAGCCGCCATCCCTCCCAACACTCGACCCTCACCACTCGGCCCGGCCTCCACGCAGGTTCCCACCTGGGACAAAGGCTGGGGTCCCGGCCCTCATCCGGGCTTGGAAGAGGGCTGAAAAGGCGGGTCCGGGGCTGGCCGCATTCCCAGCCAGTGTGGCTGGAGCCCAGGGGAGGCAGCGCCTGCGGAGGCTCCGGGAAAGGCCCCCAAGCCCCGCGCGTTCGCAGATAGATGCCCAAGAAGCGGCTGGCAGTGAGGAGACCGCTCACAAAGCCCCCACCCCCGCCCCAGGGAGCCCCGGGCCGCGCTGCCCTCCGCCTTCCTGCCCTCCCCGGCCTGCAACGCTCGTGGCGTTTTTCGACAGGTTCTAGAAAGTCCCTCTTACTCCTCCCCTCCAGCCTGGCCACAGAACGCCCGGAGCGGGGATTGTCGGGCTCCGGGTACGCGCTGCGCCGCGGCTGGACCAGAGCGCCCAGGAGCCCGACCCCGACCCCAGGCGGCCCCTCAGAGGGGCGCCCGGGCGTCGGCGCTGGTGCTTCGCGCCCCCCGCTCCGGCCTCTGCGTGCCGCCGCGGACTCCTGCGTCAGGGTCGGACTCGAAGGCGGAGGGAGGCCGGTGCCCACGTGGACGCGTGCGTTTGGTGACCGCAATCCCCAAGGGCGGCAGAAGGCGGCGACCTGGGCGCCGATAAGCAAATAAAAGGGCTCTGGGGCCCCGCCACCTCCCGCTCACCTAGGTCCCGAGCCCCCACCCCAGGCCGGTCTGCCCGCCCGCGGCGCAGGTGGAGCCGGGCCCGGGAAGAGGCGGTCACCCGGTGCTCCCCGATTGGACAGCAGCGAAGTCCCACCGGGCGCCGCCGCGGCTTAAAACCAAAGCAGGGGCGAGTGGGAGCTAGAGCCCGCCCCCTGCGCGCCGCGGCTGGGAGGGGGTGGGGGAGGGAGAGAAAGCGGAGGCGGGGAAGGCGGCAAAGGCTCGGGGACCCGCGGGCAGCCGGCCGGAGCGCAGAGCCGGGAGCCGCAGGAGCGCCCGCCCACCCGGCGAGCCCTCGAGCCCAGGCCGCCGGGCCATGGCCGAGCTCAAGTCGCTATCAGGGGACGCGTACCTGGCGCTGAGCCACGGCTACTCGGCGGCAGCGGCGGGTCTCGCCTACGGGGCGGCCCGAGGACCCGATGCGGCCCGCGGCTACGGTGCTCCGGGCTCGGGCGGCGACCTCCCCGCGGTCCCCGCGCCGCGCGCCCCAGCTCCGGCTGCAGAGAGCAGCGGCGAACAGAGCGGCGACGAGGACCACGCCTTCGAGCAGCGGCAGCGGCGGCGCGGGCCGGGGGGCGCGGGGGACGCGCGGCGGCGGCCGCGGGAGCAGCGGTCTCTGCGGCTCAGCATCAACGCGCGCGAGCGGCGGCGCATGCACGACCTGAACGACGCGCTGGACGGGCTGCGGGCAGTCATCCCCTACGCGCACAGCCCGTCGGTGCGCAAGCTCTCCAAGATCGCCACGCTGCTGCTGGCCAAGAACTACATCCTCATGCAGGCGCAGGCCCTGGACGAGATGCGGCGCCTGGTGGCCTTCCTCAACCGGAGCCAGGGCCTGGCGGCGCCCGTGGCCACCGCCGCACCCCTCACGCCCTTCGGCCAGGCCGCCGTGTGCCCCTACTCCGCGGGCGCGGCGCTGGGACCCTGCCCCGACAAGTGCGCCGCCTTCTCCGGAACGCCCTCGGCGCTTTGCAAACACTGTACGGAGAAGCCGTGACCCGGGTGCCGCTCTCCTCCCGCGCGCGTCCTCTGACCGCCCCTGCGACTGTCACCCGCCCGGACAGGAGAGGCCTGGAAGGACGCTGCAGGCGGGGAGGAGGCGGCCAGACCCGGCTTCCAGCCAGTGCGCCGTGAGCCGTTGGGTGCCGTAGGAAGCGCCAAGGCCGTCGGGACGTGGAATTGAGCCCGAGAGCCAGACGCTGGACTCGGCGCCCACCGGGCATTGTCGGGACCCGTCGAGTCTAGGAACCGGGTTGGGGGGAGCATTCTTCGGGCACTACCGCTCGCCCCCAAAAGAAGACCACCAAGGGGTCCCAGGGCGGCGGCAGGGACGGGCTCTGGTCAGATGCCGGACAGGCGCACGGAGGGTGGGGACGGAGCAAAGCTGAACTTGGCCGGTCGTGATCCTCGCGGTCCTCGCGCTGAGGCTCCGGTCGGCCCTTCGGGCTAAACTGTGGGGCGGCGCTCTGCCCCGCGTGTTCCCGACCACCCGCGCGGCCGGCACCTCCCGCCTCGATGGCTCCGAGACTCCGCACCAGCCGACCCCACCATGGCCGTTTGCACAGGGGCTGGACCGCGGGCGCGGAGGACCCCGGGCGAAGAGCGCTCCGCCTTTTCCACGTAGGAGTTTGTTCTGTTAATTTTCTTACCTGCCCAGAGGCGGGGGAAGCGGTCGGCGTCGCCGGCTGCCTCGAAGTCTGCGGGATTTGTCTCCTCGACTGCCCCTGGCCTCCCCCGCCGCCGCCAGCCCCTGCCTGGATCGGCCACGCGGTGGAGTTGAATGAAGGCCGCTTTGCGGGGCCTCTGCTGAGGGGACTGCGTGGAGGAGGGGTCCTCACAGCCCGCGCCCTACCTCACCCTGGGTGGCAGGGAAGGCCCCGCCTAGGCCTGGTGTCCAGCAAAGCCTCCTCCCCACGGTCCCCTCACGCCTCCGAGGGAGGAGGCCGGGCTACGGGTGAGTAAGCTGCTGCCGGGGCCCCGCCGGGTGTGAACCGAGACGCGGTGCGCAGCTCCGAGCCCTGCCACCGTCGGGGTCCGGCGAGCCGCCGCGCACAGCCGGGTAGGGCGCCCGGGAACCCCGCTGTCCGCGCCGGTTAGCGCCCCGCGGCCCCGCGGCGGTGTCGGGCTTTATTAACCCAATTTCCTCGGCTGTCCGTAACGCCAAGGGGAGAGGCCGCCGCCTGCAAGCGCCGGTCCACAACGTTTAACTTTAATGCGTTCCAGAAGGCCTGCGGGACTTGCACAGTGAAGTGTGTGATTAAGCCCTGTTCATAAAGACACAGGCCTAACACCGGCTTCTGCTAATTTCCATCTTTATTTCTTCATTGCCTCTTTTCCCCGTAACAGACTAGTTTGTCAGTTTTGCGAGTTCGGAAAGCTGAGTTTTTCAGATCCCTTTTAGATAGTTAAGGTAGGAAAGCTGGAAACTCAAATGTCCTTCACTTGCAGGGTGATCGTAAATAAATTACTTGCTTACAGAATTTGAAACAGGGTTGTTTATTCTGGTTAACATCAGAGACATTAGTGCATCGTTTATATTCAGAGTAAAGCATTTTATTTTCACTTATTTTATAAAAATAATATGATTAAACTTTAATATCAAATGAAATCGTCTTCATTTGTAACTGAATTCATAATTTCAATTTTCAGATAACTGTGTCCACTCTAAACCAGAGTCTGAAGAGTCTCTGAGATGCTGAAACTGATCCAAATGCAGCCACTTCTTATAGCAAACGTGTGAGGTCATAGGGAAAAGAGTGGAGGGGAAAAAATTCTCTTTCTCTCTTCGGGTGGAATATGTTTTGAAAGCACCACTTCGGTAATCAAAAATTATTCCGGTAACTAAATTTAAATAAAAAATTCAAATTACACTTAAACTTTTTTTTACATCACAAAGCTGTTTTTCTACTGTTCTGCAAAATGTCCACCTGCCTCTCTCTTGCCCGAGCGGGACTGTTGTGTTTCAGAGAGGAACTAGGTCACCCTCTCCGCAGTGGCCACTCCTGACGCCACCTGGGCCATCACAGTGTCATTTGGTCTTTTTCGGGTTTGCCCAGGGATCTTCCCATTCCAACACAGCCATCCATGGCCTTCTGCCTTCGTCTGGCAAGCAGCAAAATAGAACCCACGCGGGTGCCCCAGCAAGACTGTGGCTCCCAAGAAACTCAGGGGGCTGTTTATCTTTTCTCCGGTGGCTGTGACTTTGCAACTGTGTCGAGAAAGTCTGGGGCCACCTGGAAAGAACCTCTCGGTTCCCACCATGTGCCCTCCAGGAGCTAACCTTCCTCCGGTGCTCAGGAGGGATGAAACACGAAAGAGCTTTGCTCGCAACATGGGTACCAGCTTTTTCACAACGCTCACTGGTTTTTTGTTAGTTTTTCTTTCTTTCTCTTTTCTTTTCTTTCTTTCTTTCTTTTTCTTTCTTTCTTTTAACATGGAGTCTCGATCTATCACAGAGGCTGGAGTACGGTAGCATGATCTCAGCTTGGCTTACTGTAGCCTCTGCCTCCCCAGTTCAAGTGATTCTCCTGTCTCAGCCTCCCTAGTAGGTGAGACTACAGATGTGCGGCACCACGCCTGGCTAATTTTTGTATTTTTTAGTAGAAATGGGGCTTCACCATGCTGACCAGGCTGATCTTGAACTCTCGATCTCAAGTGATCTTCCTGCCTTAGCCTCCCAAAGTGCTGGGATTCTAGTCTGAGCCACCATGTCTGGCTAAGATGCTCACCCATGGATTCCGTCTAGGTGGTGATGTGCAGGCTGTGGGCGGTGGGAGGCCGCGTCCCCGGAACCGAGGCTTTCACACCACCCCTGTGACTAGTGCTGCTGTACAGAGACGATGCGGCCATGAGTTGAGTTTCACATTTTCAAGTGGCCATATTAAAAGAGGAAATAGAAGCGGTTGAAATTATTATTTGTGAAAAACTTTAATGCTTATCCCAACACATCCAAAATGTCCTTTCAACATGTCACCATTTAAAATTGTTAGATCTTTAACTTTTTGGCTCTAAATCTTCAAGTTCCAGCATGTGTTTTGCACTGAAAGCCCAGCTCGGTTCAGACTGGCCACATTTCAAAGCTCAGTGGCCACACGTGGCTTGCCAGCCGCAGGTTTTGCAGCTCCCTGCTGTGGCAATGCCGAGTGTACAAAGCTCTCCTTGCTTTTTTCTCTTTGTTTAATAATAACCAGGAAATGCCAGGGACTCAGGGAGTCCATTCTAGAGCTGCGCAAATAGGAAACGTCTGTTTCTCCTTCAGTCCTGGTTCACCGAGGCTTTCTCCAGAGTGGGAGCTGGGGCTGGGGCTGGGGTCCAAGCCGGCAGCAGGAAAGGCAGAGGCTGCACCCACTGAATCACGGGACCCACAGACACCTCCAGCCTCACACGCGCCAACCACACCTGAGCCTTGGAAACCATCAGGAGGCAGCAGATTACAAGGCGAACCCCTGAGAGGCAGCCCAGTGTGGTGACAGCCTCCTGTGGTGACAGCCTCGGGTCCTCCAGCCCACCCAGGGGTTTGTCTGGGAGCCATGCCGCCTCCCTCCGTTAGCCACACAGGACAGGTGCCGGCCGTGCTGACTGCTGCTTGAGTGACTTGCAGATCAAGACGAGTTCTCTCTCTCTCTTTTTTTTTAAAGATGGAGTTTCACTCTGTCGCCCAGGCTGGAGTGCAGTGACATGATCTCTGCTCGCTGCAACCTCCGCCTCTGGAGTTCAAGCTATTCTTCTGCCTCAGCCTCCCGAGTAACTGACATTACAGACGTGTGCCACCACGTTCAGTTAATGTGTGTTTTGTTAGTAAAGACAGCGTTTTGCCATGTTGCCCAGGCTGATCGCGAACTCCTGGCCTCAAGTGATTCGCCTGCCTTAGCCTCCCAAAGTGCGGGGATTACGGGTGTGAGCCAGACCAAGACCCATTCTCTGGATGGCATAGCCTCTTTTTGGAAAGACCTTTGTGAAGCCAGTGGCTCTGTAAGAGTCCTTTGCTGAGGCTACAGTAGAGGCACGTTGCCTGACCTGGGTCCCACTCCTGTCTCCGTGCACTGATGGCCATGCCTGCTCCCTCCCTCCCCGGGGACCTTCCAAATTGCTGAGTAAAAATAGAGGGCCCAGCAGGTTAGACAGCAAACATGGGGTTCACACGGGCTCTTCTTTCTTCATTTCATAAAGAGACGGATGCTTCTGCATTTCCGCACATATGGATGTCCTCTGGCTAGCGTACCCAAGACAAGTCAGCCCTTAGCATGCAGTTTCCCTGTCCGAAACCACGGACTTCCCCACCTCCTGGGTGAGGCACTGTGGCGCCAGCACTTTCGGTTCCACTGGTGCCCGGTATATGTTAAAAAGAGCTTTGCTTTCTGTAGTTAAGAAATTCACTCACCTAAAGCTGCATTCCTCCTCCTATCTCAGGGCAGAACTGCCCAGCTCCAGCTCCACCCCAGGGCTGGTACACCCCACTGGTCCCATCCAGCCCATACAAGTTCATGGACAGACCCTGGTCGACCAGGCACGCTGGCTTTCAACGGCTTCCTTTAGTTGTTAATTTCATCCCAATGATGGGATTTTTCTTTCCATGTGCGCAGCTGTCACTAGACTCACCAGGGAACTTTGTTTTAACTTGTGATTAAGCCTACGACCAGCTGCCCGCTTTACCACCGCTTAATTTACCAAACGTGCGTGTCTATTTCCCTTGCAGGATGGAAACATTAGAAGGGGCGCCCCTTTGTACAGGACAAACACCGTTCTCCTAAAAGGATGGGTGAAATGCACAAACTGTCGCTCCGACCCAAAGCCGCTCTGGCTTCACCATCTCTCCCGAAAGACCTCCCATCGGAACGAGCAAGCAGAGGCTCCTAAACCCTGGTTAATCCAGCAGAGAATGATTACAGCAATTTTCTAATGTGAATTTGTTTGTGATATGTTTTTAGTCTTTAATCGCTTTGGCATCCCATTTGAAGAGATGGAAATAGAGGGATTTGTGATGTATTAAATCATTTCTCCAACAATTACCTCTTTGAACTCATAACCCTGGATACTGTGTGGCACTATGCCAACCAAAGTCTGCTTCATAAAATTAGAAAGTTAATATGCATTTGCAGATTTAACCCCAA